ATAANACACACACAACACACACACACACACACACACACACACACACACACACACATATATATATATATAGTTATTTATAGATTTATGGATTGTCGATGTATGTATGTATTTATATAGGTGCGCGTATGTTTATGCGTGAATTTGATCCTGGGACTATAGAAATGCATGTATGTATATATTTTATATAGTATATATATATATATATTTACACACACCCACACACACTCACACACACTCACATATATAGATATATGTATATATACATACATATATATATATATATATATATATATATATCATATAAGCTCGGTTGTATGGGTTTCATTTTGCGCAAATACACTCTTGCGTGTGATTAGGTAAGTTTAAATTTGTCTGGGCAATTCAGGGTGTTTTATGCTTGAAGTGAAAATAACTAGTGCAGACGATTTGCATGAAGATAGTATATTAAATACATTCATGCGTATATCATGGGGTCTATTTACATATAAACGCATATATACCCGCACGTGTCCTGTATTTGTGTGCAATGCCCATAAACATTTTTCCGAATGCTGATTCTATATTCTGCTTCCTGACCACAACACATGGTGTATTGACTGCATCCACCCTATCTCTGACTCAAACCCGCAACAAGCAGATCTTTGTGTTGAACTGCGGCAGTAGCAGCATTAAATACCAACTGGTGGGCGTGACTGACCCAGAAACTCCCCCCACTGTCTACTGCTCAGGCCTGGTGGAGCGCATAGGCGAAAGCGTCAGCAAGTTTACGCACAAGAGGTGTGTGAGTCACATGTGTATAAGGGGTGTGTGGCGAGTCACATGTGTATAAGAGGTATCTGGGTCACATGTGTATAAGGGGTGTGTGGTAAGTCACAAGTGTATAAGGGGTGTGTGGTGAGTCACATGTGTATAAGGGGTGTGGTGAGTCACATGTGTATACGGGGTGTGAGGTGATTCACATGTGTATAAGAGGTGTGTGAGCCACATGTGTATAAGTGGTGTGTGGCGAGTCACATGTGTATAAGTGGTGTGTGAGTCACATGTGTATAGGGTGTGTGTGGTGAGCCACATGTGTATAAGAGGCGTGTTGGTTACATGTGTATATGTGGTGTGGGGTGAGTCACAAGTGTATAAAACCCTAAAACCACATGTGTACAAGGTGTGTGTGGGTCACATGTGTATAAGTGGTGTGCGGTGAGTCACATATGTATAAGTGGCGTGTGGTGAGTCACATGTGTATAAGAGGTGCGTGGGTCACACGTGTATAAGGGGTGTGTGGTGAGTCACATGTGTATAAGGGGTGTGTGGTGAGTCACATATGTATAAGTGGTGTGGTGAGTCACATGTGTATAAGTGGTGTGTGGCGAGTCACATGTGTATAAGGGGTGTGTGGTGAGTCACATGTGTATAAGGGGTGTGTGTTGAGTCACATGTGTATATGGGGTGTGTGGTGAGTCACATGTGTATAAGTGGTGTGTGGTGAGTTACATGTGTTTAAGTTGTGTGTGGTGAGTCACATGTGTATAAGGGGTGTGTGATGAGTCACATGTGTATAAGAGTTGTGTAGGTCACATGTGTATAAGCTTCGTTTAAGTATCCGTCGGTTCTTGTACTTTCGAGGCTGGTGCATGTCATAGACACATACGTGTATTTAGGGTTTTTAGTGTACTTGCTCTCGTTTGCTAGCAGTTATGCGGGTGACCAATGTGTATGTATGGGCGTGTGGGTGTAAATATAGATATATATATATATATATATATGTGTGTGTGTGTTTGTGCAATGTGCAGTTTTCTGAGTGTAGTTGCCATGCGCTGTTGGTGGGCGTCCTGGGCAAAGCCTAGTGCCCATTCATCTATTCGACCAAGTATCCTAAAACCCTAAACCCTAACAGTATTAGAGACAGCCTACGCATTACTCCCGAAGGTGCATTATAGAGGCCAGTATTATATATATATATATCTACACATAGCATGCAAGAATTAACTAGTATTGCATATATATCTACACCTAGCATGCAAGTACTAACCAGACCTAGCATGCAAATACTAACCGGGTGATTGTGCGTGTGGGGCGCATGTTGTGATGTTTTCTTTCTGCAGAGTGGATAGCCAGAGTGATGTCGCTGACTCGCAAATTAGTGATGACGGCGTTGTCAACCACACCGATGGTCTTAAGAAGGTCGCCTCCCTTGTATTCCCAGGTGCGTGGCCCTGTGTCCTGTTTTCTGGGTGCAGGTGCATGTCGTGTGTCTGATGTCCTGGCTAGTTTGCTACCCCGTATGTGCATTAGTGTGTGCTGGGTGCCATATATATGTGCAGCATATAGTGCATATGTGTGTACTGTGGGATATGGTATGTGTGGGTGGTTGGGTGGTCTCTGCGTGTCACATGAATGTGTAGTGTGTAGTGTGTAGTGTCACACGATTGTGTAGAGTGTAGTGTCACATAAATGTGTAGTGTGTAGTATGTAGTGTCACATGAATGTGTAGTGTGTAGTGTCACATGAATGTGTAGTGTGTAGTGTCACATGAATGTGTAGTGTGTAGTGTGTAG